TTTTTTTTTTTTTTTTTTATTTTCTTTTGAGACAGTCTCAAGCTGATGCCTGGGTAGGGTGATGTGGCATCATAGCTCACAGCAACCTCTAACCCTGGCTCAAGTGATCCTCTTGCCTCAGTTTTTCTATTTTTAGTAGAGACGGGGGTCTCGTTCTTATTCAGGCTGGTCTCGAACTTGGGAGCTCAAGTAATCTACCTGCCTTGGCCTCCCAGAGTGCTAGGATTATGCAGCACCCCACCTGGCTTAGAAGTGGACATTTCTTAAGGGAGAATTAAATGACAAGTTGCAGTGCTTGGCATACATTTACTCAAATACTGATAGTTTTTTGTTTCCTTTGGCTAGCCTTGGTCATAATGTAAGATTTGACCTTGGACTGAAGTAACCATTTTGTATTTTATGTGTACTGTAGCCCAGTCTCAAATGATGGAGAACAGTTTTTCCTACCTCCTTGAACATTAGCCATGTTCTGGGGTCCCAGGGCTGAGGGAGGAAATCTGGCTTACTGCTGGCTGTGGCTAATGGAGTCACAGTCTGGGTTAATTTTCAGAGGAGGCTTACAGACAGTTTGGGCTTGGGAGCAGAAGAAACAGTCCATGGATTTAGATTTCTGCCTGCTAAGTCTTTGGATTCCTTTCAGAGCCAGGGCTCAGAGTTGAGGGGAAAGTCCTACTACAGTGCTTCACTAACCATGGCTGCTCAGTGGCTTACATTTGATTTCTAAGTGAAAAGATGAAGAATTTCTGCTGAGGGTTTGTTGGTGGATTCTGACAGTCTGCCTTTCTCCTGGCTTCTGCTCCCTGTCTTTCTGCCTATTTCTAGCTGCCAGTTTGTGGTATCTGAAGACCAAGACTACACAGCTCATTTTGCTGATCCTGATACTTTAGTCAACTGGGACTTTGTGGAGCAAGTGGTGAGTAGCTTAGTTAATCCTGTAAACTGTTAGCTGGGTGTTGTGGCGGGCGCCTATGGTCCCAGCTACTTGCCTCAGTCCCAGGCTGAGGCAAGAGAATCACTTAAGCCCAAGAGTTGGAGGTTGCTGTGAGCTGTGATATCATGGTACTCTACTGAGGGCATCATAGTAAGACTCTGTCTTTGAAAAAAAAACAAACAAACCTGTGAGCTGTTAATGGGAGAGAGGACTAAAGAAAGGAACTATGCTGCTGCAGCAGCTATTGGCTATATTTACTGCCTGGCCTTCCTGTGGACATTTTCCAAAGGTCAGTCCCTGGTTCTTCCTGGAGTCCATTTTGTGAGTCCATAATTGGCACTGGCCTGCTGGGATGGGATGTAGAAGGCTCTAATTTGAAATTGTATGAGCTGAGAAGTAGTAACCAGGAACACTGAGGTTACCCTTTTGACCCGGGGCATGCTCATTACATGGTCATTGCTTCGTTGGCAGCCATTTATATCAGTATTGGGCGGCACATGTGGCTTCAGTGGGTAGGGTGCTGGCCTCATATACCGAGGGTGGCAGGTTCGAACCCGGCCCTGGCCAAACTGCAACAAAAAATAGTCGGGTGTTGTGGTGGGTGCTTATAGTCCCAGCTACTCAGGAGACTGAGGCAGGAGAATTGCCTAAGCCCAGGATTTGGAGGTTGCTGTGAGCTGTGACGTGACAGTACTCTACCGAAGGCGATAAAGTAAGACTCTGTCTCTTAAAAAAAAAAAAAAATCAGTATCATATTAGACCTTGACACTGTGGCAGGTGAACGAGCCACACAGCTACACTTTCAAAGCCACTGCTGCACTGGTTTTCTACTGAAGTTAGAAACTCTAGGTAGCCTTTGCTGATTCTAACAGGGTATCTACTGTGGAGGAATTAACTTCCAAAATGACAGATACTTTTTTTTTTTCTCCCTTTTTTTTTTTTTTTTTTTTATTTTGGGACAGAGCCTCAAGCTGTCCCCCTGGGTAGAGTGCAGTGGCATCACAGCTCACAGGAACCTCCAACTCCTGGGCTCAAGTGAGTCTCCTGCCTCAGCCTCCCGAGTAGCTGGGACCACAGGTGCCCACCACAACGCCGGGCTATTTTTTTTGTTGCAGCCATCATTGTTGTTTGGCGGATTTTTCTCCTTTTTGATGAACAAGGACTTTGGCTTCAAAGCTTGTATTCCCATTACTATGAAAATTTGTAAATCACATAATAATAACGTAGAAGGCCTATAAAACTTACTTACAGATTGGGTAAAAAATAAAGATGAACATTATATGGAGTCTCATTAACTTCTGTGTTGAAATTATTGGCAGATTACTGTAGACTCTCTATGCCTTTATGTATGTGTACTTGTCAAGTCTTTTTGTAAGTGGGATTATATAGTGATTTGTCCTATTTTCCCTTTAAGTAGAACTTTCAGATTCCTGTTATCTTTAATTTAAACCATTATTGTGGTTTAAATGATTTGCTTGAAGAGCTATTATGTAACTGGCATTGTTAAATAGTTTCATGGAGATGGGTTGAGTAGGAATGTGGGATGAGGATGAGAGAGGAAAGGCTTGAACTTTGATAAACCCAAGTCAACTCTGAAAGCAGTGAAACATGTGGCATTTTGTTTCAGCGCATTTGTAGCCATGAAGTGCCATCTTGCCCAATATGCCTCTATCCACCTACTGCAGCCAAGATAACCCGTTGTGGACACATCTTCTGCTGGGCCTGCATCCTGCACTATCTTTCACTGAGTGAGAAGACCTGGAGTAAATGTCCCATCTGTTACAGTTCTGTGCATAAGAAGGATCTCAAGAGGTGAGATAGAGATATTTATAAGATTAGATCCTAATCTAACACTGCCCTATTACATCTAACGTCCATGTTACAGTGTTGTTGCCACAGAGTCACGTCAGTATGTTGTTGGTGATACCATTACAATGCAGCTGATGAAGAGGGAGAAAGGGGTGTTGGTGGCTTTGCCCAAATCCAAATGGATGAATGTAGACCATCCCATTCGTCTGGGAGGTGAGTTCTGCTAATTTATGAGATGCATAATCCTGGGTGCACCTTTTAAGGGTGTTTAATATATCCTTCTAGTGCCAGAAAGTTTGGGCAAGCCAGTTCACGCATGTCCACAATAGTCATAAGATTCTAGTAGGTTAGGGCAGAGTTTGCAGAGTGGATTAAGTCTTGGTTTCAGGTTTGGTTCATATGCATACACACATCTTAATTTTTTATTTCATAAGGCTTTATCAAGTAGTGTCTGGCACTGTGCCCAGTCACAGGGATTCCACAGTTAGTCAGTCTTGGTGCTTGCCATCAAAGACCTCAGTATGATATCAAAAAGACAGATCTGGACTAGTCCATGTGCAGAGATGTGTTGTTACTCTGTTGCCCTGGCTAGAGTGCTGTGGTGTCATCATAGCTCACAGCAACCACACACTCTTGGGCTCAAGTGATCTTGTTGCTTCAGCCTCCTGAGTAGCTGGGACAACAGGACTGTACCACCACACCTGGCTAGTTTTTCTATTTTGAGTAGTAGAGACAAGGTCTCTTTCTTGTTCAGGCTGATCTCAAACTCCTGAGCTCAAGCAGTCTACTTGCCTTAGCCTCCCAGAGTGTTAGGATTACAGGTGTTAAAAAAAAGAAGGCTGTATATGAAAGTTCCTATTTAGCCACACCATCACGGGCATTGAGCATTTTGTGATCTTGTTGGCTTTCTTGTAGATGAACAGCACAGCCAGTACTCCAAGTTATTGCTGGCCTCGAAGGAGCAGGTGCTGCACCGGGTAGTTCTGGAAGAGAAAGTAGCACTAGAACAACAGCTGGCAGAGGAGAAGCACACTCCCGAGTCCTGTTTTATTGAGGCAGCTATCCAGGAGCTCAAGGTGAGAGGATGTATTAGAAACCTAAAACTGGCTCGGCGCCTGTGGCTCAAGCGGCTAAGACGCCAGCCACATACACCTAAGGTGGCGGGTTCGAATCCCCGTCTCAAAAAAAAAAAGAAACCTAAACCTGTCAAGGGCTGAATGGATGGACAATGAGGGTAAGTTATTTCAAGCTCACATTTAAAATAATAAGCAGGCTTGGTGCCTGTAGCTCAGTGGTTAGGGTGCTGGCCACATACACTGAGGCTGGTGGGTTCAAACCCAGCCCAGGCCAGCTAAACAACAATGGCGACTACAACAACAAAATAGCCAGGCGTTATGGCGGGTGCCTGTAGTTCCAGCTACTTGGG